TATTGTAAAATAATATAAAAAAAATTTTTATCAATTGTGTAACGATTTTGTGACGTATCAACGGTTCCTCCTGTTGCTTGCCATTTAAACTCAAAATAACTATATTTAGACTAGATACTTAATGTTCGATATCCAATCATAATTTGAATTGTGTTTATGCGCTTGTTTATCCAATTATCATCGGAGCTTCAAAAAAAATTTTTGTTCCGACCGGGCCCACTTTAATCAATAAGAATATAAACTTGTTTCTAAGAATCCTTATCATTCTCTCACTATCTTTAACTTCTGTTTCTTTTTGCCGATAACCAATTTTTACATCCTCCCCACTCTTAAACCTTATAATGTCGGGTCAAACGGGTCAAAAGAAAACCAGCTCTAACTTTGCCATGGATTTTTTGATGGGCGGTGTTTCCGCTGCCGTTTCAAAAACTGCAGCCGCTCCCATTGAACGTGTTAAATTATTACTTCAGAACCAGGAGGCTATGATTAAGTCCGGTCGTCTCTCAAGGCCTTACAAGGGTATTGGAGAATGTTTTGTTCGAACAGTTAAAGACGAGGGTGTTATCAGTCTTTGGCGTGGTAATACCGCAAATGTCATCCGATACTTCCCCACTCAAGCCTTAAACTTTGCGTTTAAAGATAAATTCAAGCGAATGTTTAATTATAAAAGAGATAAAGATGGCTATGTTAAGGTGTTTCTTGGCAACATTGCCTCGGGAGGTGCCGCTGGTGCTGCATCTTTGACATTTGTGTACTCTCTCGACTTTGCTCGAACTCGTCTTGCCAACGACGCAAAGGCCGCTACGAAAGGTGGTGGTGAGCGACAATATAGCGGTCTTGTTGATGTCTATCGTAAGACCCTCGCATCCGATGGCATAGCGGGTCTTTATAGAGGTAAATCGTTTTTTTTTATTAACTAAATTGCATATACTTTTTTATCTGATCTTTTTACTTATTTGAATCGCGCTAGGCTTCAACATTTCGTGCGTCGGTAAGTTATATTTTGGATCCTTTGATCCATTTACGATACACCATCCTGTATATTATTTTCTCAATAGTATTTATTAAAGTTTTGTCTTTAAATGCTAACATGATCTTTATCACTTATCATTTTTATTTTTACCAAAAAAAAGGCATCATTATTTACAGGGGTCTTTACTTCGGTATGTTTGATTCTCTTAAGCCTGTTGTCTTAACTGGACCTCTCAAAGACAATTTCCTCGCATCGTAAGTTTAATTTACTGTTAATAGTTGTTTAATTTAATTTCATATATGAATTAATGTTTTGCTTTGTGTAATTAGATTCTTGCTCGGGTGGAGTGTTACTATCGCGGCTGGCCTTGCAAGTTATCCAATAGACACTGTACGACGTAGGATGATGATGACGTCTGGTGAAGCCGTAAAATACAAATCCTCCCTCCATGCCTTTAGAGAAATTATTACCAAGGAAGGTATGGGGTCTTTGTTCAAAGGTGCTGGTGCCAACATCCTTCGTGCCATCGCCGGTGCTGGTGTCTTATCGGGGTTAGTCTTTTTCATTTCCTTGGTTATTTTGTTTGTACACTTTATTTCTAGCTAAAATGTTTCCTATTTTAGTTACGACAAACTTCAAGTTCTTTTCCTCGGTAAAGCATACTCCGGCGGCTCCGGATAAAAAAAGATATTACTTATATACATAAGATATAGATAGATTATTTTTTAAAATATTCCAAATGGTGTTTCAGATTATTACTGGCTAGCCAGTAAGTTATCTTAGCATTAATATGTTTCTAATTAAATTTTAATTACAAATCATATAGAAATATTGTTAACATAGTTATTACTATACGTAGCATAAAGTTTCTAAATTCATAGAAATCCTTGAAATTGTTATAAAAAATGATCTTCATATGAGCATCTGTAATCACATTCCTTTCAAGATTACGATGTTATAGTCTTAGGGACGCGCAAAAATTTGGATCCAAATTTTGCCAAGCAATTTGGGACGTCCCAAACCAGGAGATAAAAATTAGTATGCACATATCGACAATATGCCGGAATCCATGTGATGCATATAGATCATCACTTTGTTTGGGACGTCCCAAATTATATGCATATAAATATATATTATACAGTGCAGACAGCCTAGTCCGACAAACAAATTTGACTAATTTCAAATGCTAATCCTTGTTCATAAAAAACAATAAACAAAAAATCTCTTCACAGAACGTTAAAACCAAGCAAGCTAAACATTTTGATGGTCTTAAATTTTTTTTTAATAAAATAGTAGAAAATTAAAGTCGAGGCAATTTTATAATTAAACAAGCAATTTGGCCGCTTAAAATATACTATTAAACAAGCAAACTTGGCCACTTTACACATGAAATTTGACCGCTCTATATATTAAATTTGGCCACTCTATATATCAAATTAACTATGTTAAATTAATAATAATTTGGCCATTTTATGTTAAAATTTTAAATTTGGCCGTATCATATAATATATAAATTAAATTATATAAATTAAATTTTAATTTGGCCGCATCATATATATATAAATTAAATTTTAAATTTGGCTGGGACTAGGTTGTCTGCACTGTATAAATTATTAGATACAAGTTTGTAAAAATATAACTAGATTTTATATTTTAATTAGCGATACAATGTGTTTGCATTATTCTAGGCTAGTGACGTAGATCTCCTGATCTACAAATCAGATCTCGAGGATCAGGTGTAACGTAGCACGATCAGAAAATTTAAAACAACAAAAACAAACGTTCGTTTATCAAAAATCGCCTCCTAAGTTTTTCTTGAGCAATTTTGCTTAATTTTAAACCTCATTCTAAGCACTAACTCTAAAATTAACGAACATTAAAAAATTTTATCTGCGCTGCAAACCTAGCACAAAAATTTTTAATATTATAGTACCGACAGTAAAACGCATCTACTATTTACTAGTAAAAACTTAATTTTTTAAAACAAACTAAATCAAAAAAACAATTTAACAGAATTTTACTAAAACGCACCTATGGTGTTTTACACCTATCTCAAAAACTGGTTAATTAATTGGTGTAAGGCAGTGTTGTCATGGGACACGGACGTGGGCGGCGGACAGTCTGGGACGGGACGGGACATCCGTGGACATATCTGTGACCATTTTTTTGTCCCGGACAATTAAAATTATAATAAGAACAGCCTTGTTAGCCAATCAGGTTTTTGATAAACTATATAACATGGGTAGTGATGTGAATTCTACCAAATTGGCATGTTTTTACCGGTATCTACCGGTAGGTGGTAGCTACTAGTAGCTACCATTACTAGTAGTTTACTAGTTACATGATTTATTTGACAAATCATATACTTTACCAGGAACAGAGTGATGCAATCATGAAGTGTATGGTTTATACACTGTTTGGAGTGGGATTTGTTTGCAAAATCTTAAGTTTGATTGGTCCGTATGACTTATTCGTTAAATTTTGGTTATTTTTCATGTATGAATGCATCACGCCATTATTCTGCATAGATTCATCACGGTTTATTATTATATCCTATTATAACCGCACATATGAGCAATATCACAGTTGCAATAACTAACGATAGTAAAAGCAAAAATTTTCACCTCAAAAATTGGTGATCCAATGCAATTTGATTTGTCTATTTACCTAATATTTGGTATTTTTCGTTTTTTTTTCGTAGGATCTTTTATCGGGTTGAT